ATGACTCTTACGTTCCAATAAACCATGGAAAATCCCCTGCTTCCACAGTTTGAAACTGAAATATAGGGGTTATAAACAACAGCCTTCTAAACTGAGCTTATCTGTTTTGAAATTATACAGGGAAACAAAAGCAATAACAACGGTGATGGGATTCACACCCACCTGCCCAGTGTAAAGCAGTCAGAAGCCACAGCAGAGGCAGGATGTAAACCTAAGCAGACTTTTAAGATGGGGCCACTGAGGTGCTAGACTAAAATTCAGCTGTGTGCCTACATAAAATGACTAACATCGCCTCTGGGGCTCGGTGCTGGGCTCTCCTTCACTGTCCTGACACCAACTAAGTGTCTTTCTCCTCCTCTCTGCACCCTCTTCATGGGCAGTGCTGTTTACCACGACACCATGGAACTTATAAACGGCCAGCTTCCTCTCAAACGCCTTCATTTCCTCCCCCCCACTCCATATTACAATCCTTAATTTATAAATCTTTAATTCTGCCTTCAATGGGAACCACAGGAAACATGTTCTCTACTCCCCAGTCTCCGCATGACTCTGAGACCATCCCGATGTGTCCCTCCTTATGCCATCCTAATGTATCCCTACCACTGTTTCACTGTTAATTCTTTGGTAACTGTGGATTAAAATAACCTTCAAATACTGTTTTTGGTTCACACTATACTAAAACCCAGGGCAAAATTGTCTGGGCTAGACTCAGCCAGTATTTCCCAATGGGAGGTACCATGTGTGGCCCCTTGTGGCAGCATCATGCCTGCGTCTTGCTCGCGTGGGACCTCGGAGGCATGTGTCACCATCTAATCTGGATGGAACTGCTCTCTAACTCAGTCCACTCGCTTCTCGCCTTTCAGGGCCATCCAACAAAGGTTCCTTTCCTCTCATTCTGCGCCGAACATCAAGCCTTCTACTACACAGCTCCGTATTTCAAGGATGTTCTTTTCTACTCATCTCCTTAACCAGATTTTTCTTTTATGCAGCTCATCTCTTAAAGATATGTAATCTCATTGAACTTCTGTGATGTTATAAAGATTTATGGTTGATTCATAAATTTAGCCAAAGCTTATATGCAATTCCCACATACACTTGGACACTGTGCAAAAACTAGGGCTGGGTAATATTTTGGAAATGAGTGATATTCATGCAGATAATAATTTAAAGGAAAAGCAAAAAAAGGCATAATGGGATTGAACTTTAAGCCACATCAAACCTGAAAAATATTGTTTGATGAGACTAGAAATCACTTATTTATGATATCCTTAATTTGCCATGAGAAATGAATAAAGAAAAAAAAGAATTAGAAATCATTTTACTTAAAATTTGCATTGATAGTATAATATTGATTCCAAGATTTTAATTAATTTTGGAAGAGTTAGATCTCTCTTATTCAAAGAAATGCAACTTGGAATGTATTCACTTAAGCTAAAATGCAAAGCCAATTTACCTAAAGTAATCTAGAATGCACTTTAGAAATTACAAAGCCTGCTCTTTCTCAAAGGATCGTTTTAATAAATGATTGCTTTAGTCTATAATTCACAGTGGAGACTGTGGTTTCTTGTCATTATAATTAAGCCAGCAGATCCTGTTATTCTATTAGTTAACCTGAGTCTATTTTATAACGGTGTTGTTGTGTAAATTCTCTAACCCTTAACTGTCAGTAGTCAGCATATTGCAACATCTGAACAAAAAGGATAATTTATGCTTTTCTTTCCAAGTCAACCCGAAATGTAAAATTATTTTGAGCTGTGTTGTAGAATTATGCAGTTGCTCAATTTTCAAGTCGAGCTTAATAAATGGCTATGAAGTGAAGTCATTAATGAGCACGTGATACCATGAATACACCACAGTACTTATTTATTATTTATTACATATTCTTCATAAAGAGAAAAATCTCCAGAATCAGGCATATGCTTGGGAATCCATAAAAGCAGATGTAATTGTTATCAAGGACTTCTTATTCAAAAGTAGAAAATACAAGGAAATAACATTTATCTACTGATTAAATGTAAATTCCTCTTATTTCTAAACGAGGAATCCAATACTAAATTTCCAGAATAGTTCCATGTAAACACTACCATGGCAGAAATAACTCTGATCTGTAGCCTCGAAGTAAAAGGGGCAAGTGAAACAAAACCAACCACAAATAGCACAAGACTCACTGTGCAATGCATTTCTAGGTTTTTAATGTTTGAATCTTTGGAAGACATTGCTTTAGGGAATGATCTAAGATAATAGCAACTGTTTTTACTCCAATGCAATCAGACTTTTAAATATACAGCTGCTGAATGAAATGCAGAGGTCCTTCTGCAAAGGCGCTGCATCGAGGCCTGTGCAGGGAGAATCTGGAGGAACAAGCCACGTAAACTTGAGACTGTATCGTTATGTTTGCCATGTGTGTGCCAAGAACGTGTGTACTGCTACAGCATGGCTTATGATGTGTATAATGTGGTTTTTTGATTAAGGAAATGATATAGGATACTGGGACATCATTTTCTTGCGTGTCATGCAGAGAATGTGGATTTATGTTTCACAAAACATATTCTTCTTAGATGTGTGAGGAACTGAACATAATTTTTGACATGCAGTTAATGTGTTTTTGGCCTGGGGATGAAGATTTACTTTCTGCTCACCAATGCCCTTAAGGTTTCCTGTTGTCAATTCTTTTACATGCACTGAAACTTTATTATCAGCTTCCAATAATCCCCCACAAGGCTGCTTATGGGGTCAACCCTGCCAAATGCATCAACACGCCAAAGTGGCACTTTCTATGGGAACAGCCACCTCTAACTAAATTACATGTTTTCAATCCAACTGTTGTGAGCTAATAGGAAGAGAGTATGTTCCAAAATTTTAAAATATATACAAGAAAATAAAAGTTCACTCTAACAATATAAATTTATACCAAGCCTCAATCTTCTTTCTTTATTTCCACAAATTTTGACCAACTTACGGTCAAAGGTATGGTACATTATGTGTCACCCTTTATTTTTAAATAAGATATTTCTTGGCTCAACATACTGTCCAAGCCAAATAAGAAACTTACGTGTTTAAACTTGGAATCAAATATAGGCCTGCTGGCGCCAGATCTACAGGTCAGGTGTCTCATTATTTGTTTGCTGGCTTCAGTCTTTCCAGACCCTCTTTCTCCACTAAAAGAAAAAGGAGAGGAAAAAACACACAAGTTTATTGTTTTGGAAAATGTAGCAAAAAATGAATAACCACCGATAATTTTCAGGTACAATGTTAATAAGGAGTAACACAACTTTTAATGCGTTTATGGTGTAATTTTTCTCTTCAACTTGATTCATTCATTCAAAATACTTAGCGAATGTCTACAGTGTCAGGCACCCTGTGGGGTTCAGGTGCTAGGGCTCCCAAGGAACAGGATGCGTCCAGCATCTTACAGTACAGAGCCACGTAGCACACGTGAATGACAGCAGAAAGGTGTTAGGTGGAACCAGGGACATGATCAACTTATCCTCAAGTTTGTAAATGACAGTGAGGTGGATGAAGCCAGGCGACAGGCCCCTGCCCTGGAGGCGAGCGCATGCAGAGCCGCATGGCCTGGCCTTGTGAAATCTTTCTGCACCTTCCAAACAAGAAGCTACATCACATCTTCCCTGGAAAAGTCATCCCATCTTTCTGAGCTTTCCTTCTGTTTTCTTCTGAATGAATATAAAGCATGCAGTTAGTAAGATGGTCACAGGTGAGCCGAGTGCTGACACTCAGCAGACCCTAAAATGGCCCGTGTCCTCCTGAGGTTGCTGTCAGTTCCTTCAGCCCATGCGTCCCACTGTCCTTCAACCTAGGAATAAGCACTAACCTACTTGTTATTTTTAATGACAATACTTTTGGTATTTCCCAGGCATACCTCATAACATACCTAATGCCTATAAATAATCATATATTATACTCCTGAAATTAGAAGATATACTATTAACATAAAATTCTAATACAATAATTACCATACCAAAGTGGTCTGCTATAAAATAACGTTTTTACTGCATCCAGGTAGAATACTCATAAAAATAGTAGTTTGTCTACTAGCCAAAAAGTTAAAAACATATATAAAGCTCTTTACTAGTGTTTTCTCAGGTTTCTCCCGTGAACTTTTGTTCTAATGTATTTGCTTAAAGGATGTTTGTCAGAGAAGAAGCTGAACTTTAATTATTTATTCAGGTCTCAAGTTGTGAACAAATGCTTCTTCTCCCTCCTCCATGCTGACTGCAAACATTTTAACCACTTGTAGAGCAACCACCCAGCAGCCTCAGCAGAGCAGGTGACAGTGACCTGCATGAGACAAGAAGCTTCTTTTCTGGGTTCAAAGACCTTTTCTTTTAACCTTCTAATTTCACAGAAGAAACAATCTAGACCTTTCATGATGGAAATTTAATTTCTACAATTATATTTATTGTTACAAAAACTCTATTCACAAAAATAGTTAAATGTTTCATGAATCTTTTTTTTTAATAAGGGTTTTGCTTGCATTCACTCAGTGATAAATCTTGGAAAATACCATTTTCCTTTTTAAAATATCACTCATTCTTTCAAACAAAAGTCACTGAGGACCTACTATGTGCCAGAGGCTTTACAGGTAAAGAGGTGAAAAATACTGCTCCCTGTGTTACCTACCAAGTATACTCTCAAGTAAACACTAACGACATAAATGATGCATAATTAGAACACAGCAGGGCACAGCAAGCAATGCACCCACAGGGGAAGGAGCAGGTATATCCCCTAGAGGGAACCAGGGAAGACTTCTGGATGAGGTGGAATTTGAGCTGATTCTTGGAGAAGGGGTTGGACAGAGGTAGCATTTAATTAGCATTAAACATCCAATAAGTATTTCCCGAGCTTCTATGAAGCAACCTGAAATAGGTGGCGAGTGCAGAGTGGTGAATGAGGCAGAAACAGCCTCTATGAAGATGGAAATGCGAGTCCGGCCGGGCGTGGCTCAGCGGTTGAGCGTCGACCTAGGATCCAGGCGATCCGGGTTCGATTCCCGGTCGGGGCACATGCCCGGGTTGCGGGCTCGATCAATGGCTCATCATTGATGTTTCTGTCTCTCTCTCTCCATCTCCTTCCCTCTCTCTGAAATCAATNTCTCTCTCTCTCCCTCTCCTTCCCTCTCTCTGAAATCAATAAAGATATTTAAAAAAAAAAAAAAAGATGGAAATGCGGAGGCCTGTGAGGGTATGGAGCTGACCTGTGGTCATGGGAGTCCCCCTCTGTGCTCCCACCATTGCACTCACTGGACTGCCAGATTAGGCGCAGGGAAAGTGACAGCTAAAACCACACACATTGTAACTATCTCATAAAACCTCAGCATGGCCACATTTCATTTTTTTTTTAAATGTATCTTTATTGATTTCAGAGAGAGGAAGGGAGAGGGAGAGAGAGAGAGAGATAGAAACATCAATGATGAGAGAGTCATTGATCGGCTGCAGCCCGCAACCTGGGCATGTGCCCTGACCCGGAATCGAACCCTGATGGCCTGGATCCTAGGTAGACGCTCAACCGCTGAGCCACGCCCAGCCGGGCATGGCCACATTTCATTTAAACTGAGCAAAATACAAGGAAATAAAATAGAAATGGGTTAGGATAAGCTTGGCTCCATAGGTGATCATGTTAAAACTAAAATGTCTAATTCAACTTCTTCAAGAAATATTTTTTATCCCAAAATTCAAGTGTATGATTAAACTAGAAATTGGCCACAGATTTGGGGTTGTGCCAATCATGGGCCACAAGAATGCTTAAGCTTATTTGAACAGTCTTCTCTGCTCCATTTGTACACAACAGAGGCAGACCCTATACTGCTTATCTCACAGGCTACTTGTGTGTGCAGCAAATAGCATTAATTTAGATTTGCTCAGCATTTACTTAGGATAATGGATATTTGCCACAGATGTTCAAACAATTCATTAAAACCATCTCACAAGGCCTTTTGGAAGTCAAAGGTAAGGTATATCATGGTGGATTCCAAACTCTCAGCTATAGCCCAGGAAAAAGATTTGAAAATTATAAAAAAAACTTCCTCAAGATGAAGACTAGTGTGCCACTAGAGCCTATAATTACCAACAAAGTAAGAAATAAAATTAAAATTTGGAAATAAATTTTTTTCTTGCCTAGCACTGTTACAGGGCATCTATTCCAGGGAAATTTGTTTTGATTCCCAAATCTTAAAAATTGTCTATTGCATATGCTAATTATAGGACACAATATACACTGAATAAGTGAACTTCAAGCAGCATATTTAGTTGAGTTCTACATTTATTAATTTTAATGTATTAGAATAATGTGGAACGTCTTTATATTAGTAAAGACAATCAAGGAGGTAGAGACGCTACAGAAAAACACTAATCTTGAAAGAAGACAGAGAATGACTATAATAATAACTCTTTGTGATCACAGATTTGTTCTTCAATTCTGGACACCAAGACTAGGAGATACCCTCTTGAAAGTTAATACAAAAATTTTTCAGAGTAAGTGGTTGACGCATAGCATCTTAGCTTTTAAAAATGTCCCAAAGGAATATTAGTTCTGCAGAATATTAACAATTCCTAACAGAAAAAATATTCCATGAGCAACACATAGATACATCTTTGGGTTACAGGTATCTTTACTGAAAAACAGCTAGACATTGTAGAGTCTATAACAAGGAAACTTCCAAAGGATATGAAACCATTGGTTCCTCAGAGTTTCTCTAGGGACCAATATCTTTCACAAAATTAAGTGGATTCAACAAACTTATGTAAATCCATGGATTTGTGGCTATAATTTTAGGGGAGATTGGGCTGGGCTGTTGAAAGCCTCCTCAGGATAGCATCAGGGAGCTGGCCATGCACTGGGGTCAGGCTATGAGAATGATCGCACTTCATTCTGTGGAATTTTTTTTTTGGTGTGAAAAATTTTTGCTCCAATGTAATTCATACTCCTAAGCATCTTCATATTTATGAGCTAATGCTACCATTACATTTCAACAAAAATAATTTTGGTGAAATACGAGCAAAACTAAATGCCTAGAAGCAGGTGGGAAATCTGCGAGCTAATAACTTTTATTCTGCATTTTGGGCAGCCGCACGTTTTGGAGAACTGTGGTACAGGTTCACTCACATTGGGCGCCTTTCCTTCCCCACGTGTTCTAAGGTTTGAAAGCAAAAGCACTCTGGTTGTAAGTAGCACATCTTCAAAATGACCTGAGCTGCAGGTTAAGTTTTGATTCAGCCACACTTGGGGCTATTTCCAACAAGGATGTTTCTCCTTTGTAAGGAGTCAAGTGTACTTATTGCAAAGATATCCTGGACTGGAACATGCTGAGAAAGTAAAGAGATGCAAACCCTAAGAAATGAGGACATTTTTACAGCCAAGCGCCCGAGCAGGGCCGGGCCGGGGGGCAGCGGGGGTTACCTGAGGATGAAGCACTGGGGGCGCTGCTGCTGGAACAGCTGGTGGAAGGCCCTCTCGGCGCAGGAGAAAATGTGCGGAGGCAGAGACGGGCAGGGCGGCCCGGCGTGGCCCCGGTACAGCCGCGAGACCTGCAAGACAGCGCAGCTGAAGAGGCCACCTCCCGGGGAGGCTTGGGGACCCCGCAGCCCCGCTCCGCCTGCAAGACAGCGCAGCTGAGGAGGCCACCTCCCGGGGAGGCTTGGGGACATCACAGCCCCGCTCCGCCTGCAAGACAGCGCAGCTGAGGAGGCCACCTCCCGGGGAGGCCTCGGGACCCCGCAGCCCCGCTCAGCCGACCGATTTCCAAAACAGGGAGGTGAGTGTATCTCCAACACTGAACCTCATCTGTAACGACAGAACGTTTGTAAAGCGATGCCCTTCTCAGCACATCTGAAGCACGCATAATGACAAAACAGAGGCCACGTCCCATCTTCACAGCGAGGTCCACAGGCTTTAAATGACTCTGCTGTATTTAAGAAGAGAGACTCGCAAAACCCCCGTTTAATAACCACGAAGCGCGCCGAAACCGTGATGATTGACATCAAATGCAATTTCTCAGCCACATTTCGTTTCAGTCGCAGAAGGTAGGAAGGCTTTTTCATTTGAATAGAAGGCAGTTGCCACTGGAACACACATGAATTCATAATTTTCTCGGAAAAACAAAAATTTTAATTAACTTAATTTCAGTGACAGTGATTTATGATGATTGCCATGGTGATTCCGTGCCAGGATTTTTAGTCCTTTTGAGTTTCTAATCCATTTACATGTGACTAACAATGAAATAACAGGAAGGCTTCTGAGGCAGGAAGAAATATCAGGCAAACTATTTTTATTTTACAATATAAGTGGTCTCTTTCCTCAAAGATGTCAAGATGGGGGAGTTCAAGAGAAGGGTGAAGACGCTCTCCCTACTGAGGAGCCTGGGGCGGGTTGGATCAGGGTGCCCTGCGTGGGGCCTGGATCTTGGGCTACCTGGGCACTGCTGGACAGTGGGACAAACTGAACGAGGCCTCTGGATCAGGCGACAGCACCGCAGCGGCAGTAACTTCCTATTTTTGATGGTTGTGTGGAGGTCAGATAGGAGAGTGATTTTGTTTGTAGGAAATGTATGGCACGTGTCGTCAATGTTGATAGCACAACATGCCAGATGATTATTTGAAAATGGCTCAGGAAAAAAGCTGTTTGTACTATTTGTCTGTAATTTTTCCGTAAGTTTATAGTTATTTAAAATTATAGGGGGAAAGAGTGTTTAAAAGCAGAATAAATGATCTATGGTTATAAGACATACTTAGGTGAATCTCACGAACATCATGTTGAGTGGAAACTCTCAGATACATACGAGAACACACTATCAGGCCCATTTACATAAAATACAAAAGTAGGTAAAACTAATCTACGCTGTTAGGCATCAGGTTGGTGGGACCTTGGGCAAGGTGTTAGAAGTGATGCAAAAGGAGCGAGAGTGAGGCTTCTGGAGAGCTGGTAACGTTCTGCCTCTGAGTGCTCATGAACATTTACTAGTCTGCACACTTAGAAATGAGCACTTTCCCACATGCATTATATCTCATTAAGAATTTCAAAAAGCCCAAATCATTAAACACTGTGGTTCTGGTACAGACACTAAAGAAAGAGACCACTAGAAGACACTACAGAACCAACACAGGACATGCCTGGGTAGGGAACTAATGCATGACATGGTCCTGCATCACTTATCAGTATAGTAAAGAGCGGTGCTGAGAAACTGACCATAAATTCGTAAAGGGAACAAACGTTGAATTTTATCTCATGTCATGTGTAAAAATAAATTCCAGATGAATCTAAGTCACCAATATGAACAGCAAAGCTTAAATAATTTATTTTTTAAATTTTTATTGATTGAATGATTTTAGAGAGGGAAGGGAGAGAGAGAAACAGCGATTTGTTGTTCCACCTATTTATGCACTCATTGGTTGATTCCACTTATTTATGCATTCATTGTATCTGCCTTGACTGGAGATCAAACTCACAACCTTGGTGTATTCAGATGATGCTCTAACCAATGGAGCTACCTGGCCAGGGCAAAGCTTAATTGCCCTGTGCTTATTTAGATAATTATATAGAATAGTGCTCTCATGACTTGGGTAAGGAAATAAAGATCACAAACAAGTTATAATCGTAAAGATAGGTCGATCTCACAACATTACATTTAACAATTCTTGTGCAGCCACAAACACTATAATAATAAAATAAATAATCAAAGCAAAGACAGAGAGGAGAATAAGCTGTGCATATAATCAATAAATTATCAGTATTTTCTAAGTGACGCTTAGAAATCAATGAGAGAAAAACTGGAAATAAAAGAAAAAATTGGTCAAAGAATATAAATGGAAAAAAGTGGCCAAAAAATATGAAAAAAGATGCAGAAACTCTCTGGTAACCAGGGAAGTAGCATTTCAAACAATAAGGCAACGTGTTACACATATAAATATTGGCAACTTTATCAAAGATAGTTTAATAAGAGTAATAATGGATTACATTTGCTATGTGCTTGCTCCTGTTCTCAGCACTCACTCTCCCATCCAATCCTCCCAGAAACCTATGGCTTGGGCATGAGAATCATCTTCCTTTTAACAGATAAAGAAATAGACGCAAAGAAGTTAGTGACTGGTCCTAGGTCACATGGCTAGTTAGTGGTGGAGCTTGATTTCCTGTCAACCATGTAATTTCCTGTTATTTAGGGAAGTTGAATAAATTTTTATCTCTGTAATCTCAACTCAGCTGCTTTCTCAGTTTGGCGTTATACTATGTTGCAGGTTCTCTGAACACACAGTGTGCACTCTGTCATATCAGCTGTAGCAGTGGAATCTGATGAAGTTGGTGGGATTCATCCTTTCCAGTTACTTCAACTGCAGGATGACCTGATTAGCCGCTTCCAAGGAATTTACAAGAGTGTGCAGCTTTTCTCATTTCAACAGAATATGGTTTGACATCACTGTTTTCTTTTATGTCTAGATGAAAGTTTAAAAGTTGTGTTTGTAATGTAGCAAATTGTGCCATAAAAAAGTGTAAGCTTTAACTGCCAATCAAACTCCCGTAACTGTGCGGAGAAAATATCAACTCTTCTAACAGAATCTGATTCATTTCACCTTTTTTACTTTTCAAGCATTTCCTGATAGCTTGTTGATGAAATAAATTCACCTGACTCAATTGCTGAGATATCTCTTCCTCAGATAAATTTTTACCAACTGCAGCTTTGAAAAATTTGGTAAACCTTCCAGAACATGCATCCAGTCTGCGGAACCCCAAACACTGGGGTAATCCTGGCTGAGAGGACAAATACAGCCACAGATGCCATCAGTTATTTTGTGAAGAAGCTGTGGGCCCAGCTCGGTGGAAGGTTCTGCAGCCTCCACCAATATAACTGTGTTTTAACACAATAAAATACTATAGGGCATTTAGAATGCATTAACTAGACCCCAACCTTTTAACATGAAAAATGTTTGAAAGCACAACGGTTAATAATTTTTTTAAAAACAGATGCAGTAATATGTCCTCTGAGTGACTTTAAATAGAAAATAATGGCATATGCATTTTATTGCATATGTAGAGTGCATATATATATATAGTGAATATACAAAAGATTAGATGAGAGCATAATAATTACAGGATAGTGGTTATAATTGATTATAAAAGGAATAAGCGAAGGTGGAACTCAGGCTGTGTTCATAGCACACTGTGTCATCTAACCGAACACACCAAATCGTTAAAGCCTATATTTATTTCCCGTACTACCTAGAAAATAAATGTTACAATTAAACTAGAAAACAATGTCTTCTTGTCACATCTTTAAAGTTGCATCCTGATCACAGGAGTGTATGAAACAATTCATTTTTTATTTAAAATATATTGTAGCCTGGCCAGGCGTGGCTCAGCAGTTGAGCATCGACCTAGGATCCAGGCGATCAGGGTTCGATTCCCAGTCAAGGCACATGCCCGGGTTGCGGGCTCGATACCCAGTCGGGGGCGTGCAGGAGGCAGCTGATCAATGACTCTCTCATCATTGATGTTTCTCTCTCTCTCCCTCTCCTTTCCTCTTGCTGAAATCAATAAAGATATATTTTTTAAAAATATACATATATATTTTTTTAAAGCTATGAGACTCACATGGTGGTGTGCCCACAATTGTCTATTGTATTATACTTGAACTTTTTGTATTTTTACTTATTGCACAATTTAAAATGAATGTTACAATGATTTGAATGATATTGATGTATACATTATAATTCATAAACCCACTAAGAAGTTGTAGCCCAGCTTTATTTTCTTTCAGGGAAAATTTCTGTTCCTTTAGAAAATTTGCCCCAGCACTCTTTCCCTTCTCTCCAAGTCCAACATGGAACTTAAACTAATTTTGACAAAATACTTTCAAATGAACCTGTTTTATAAAATTCTGTTGAGGTTTTCATTAGATGTTATAAAGAAAAGTGAGATCCAGAGACCCAGGAGCATATATGAAAGTACTTGTGTGTAGAGTGCATTCACATCCCAAATCTGTTTCTTCACACCTCTTTGAGATCACCTATTCTCTTTAGGCTAAGTTTTACTAGAAATTACATGTGGTAGTAGACCTTGAGTGTCTAAATAAAGTTTTGTCATGATAACCAAGCTAGTAACCTTTCTCAGTTCCCTTCTCTCATAAGTCTCCTTTTCATGCAATTTTAGAGTTTTTATTGTAAAATAGTCCATTGCTCCCACCTGGTAATACTTTGCTTGATGCTAATTCTATGCTTTAAAAGTAATATAAATATGAAATAATTTTAATATGATATTATTTTCTCTTTATTTCTATGAAACCTTGAAGATTTTCATTCACATAAATTCTAGTTTTCTAAGTGCTGACAAGCCATCTAACTTTATATCTGTTAGGATTATCCTTATCAATATTATCGCTCATTCTCACTTCTGTCTGTATTATATTNCCTTATCAATATTATTGCTCATTCTCACTTCTGTCTGCATTATATTTTCCACGTAATGCTTTTGTTAATCTAAGATTTCCTTCCATTCTTACCTTTTGACGTGGCCATTAATAGCATACGTCCCCAACACAGGTATTTTTCTGTCCTCAGTTACAAGTGGAATCTGTGCGGTTTTTATTTTTATTTATTTATTTATTTATTTATTTATTTATTTATTTATTTATTTATTTATCTTTGCATTTTGCTTCTAGGGTGTCTACACAGTTCTTAATTACCAAGAGTTTCTTACTCAGCATTTCCACATATCTAACACAACATGTTATATTTAATAGACTAAAGAAATGTTTGTTGGTTTTATAAAGTATTCTTACCCCTGATTATAAGGTTGCTTTGTCTGTATAACCCATTCAGAAAGATCTGGCTACTTTTCTATTTTCTCCCTTCCCCTGCCTCTTACGTGTTTAAAATGAGCGATGACACTTGTCTTCGGCATAAATAGGCAGCGTAATACTGAGCCTTTCCCTGTTGATTAGGCTTCGTGTAGAACTGTCTGCCTGCTGGCCCCTCAGCACCACTTCTCCCCGGTGACTGTCAGCCTGCGATCAGCACTGCTCACGGGGCAGGCCGCCTCGTGGGCAGCGGGCTCGCTGTCATGTGTTTACATCAGTCTCCAAAGGAAGTTTGCCACAAAAGGTGTTCTACGCCCATGATTAATAACCTGCTAGATAAGAAAGGAATATTTTGCAAAGGCTTAATATAACACAGTTAACAGTATTGGTAACAAAAAAAAAGTAAGACACAGATGGCAGCTCTGGACTTTCTTTCTCTAACATGAAACACAGAACATGTTCTCCCGGTTTGTATAATCTTTATAGATGTGATCAAATTCAATGTTTTATTCTTTTTCTTTTATTAAACTAACCAACATGGGAAGAAACAAAACTATTTAAATGAAATTTATCATTTAAAACAATAAACACACACATAAATATAATCAATAGATACACAAAAAGAAATGAAACTTTCTCCTGTGTGTCCACAGAACAATGAGATGATTTAAACATGGGTCAGCACATGAGTAGCTGATTTTAAATTACAAGATACTAATATTGCCACACAGGATGCCCACTAATTCAACCTAAAAATTAAACCCTGGTATCTACCTAATATCTATAATTTTATGTGTTATTACTTGTAAGCCAGGGGAGTACAAACTATTTGATTCTACGTAATGTATGTGAATCCACAGCACCAGACACCGTGGAGTTTCACTATGGCCTGTTAAAACTGGGTAATTTTACTGTAAGCTTTATATCAGTGCATAGTTTACCCAAATATATTTATTTTCCTCTTATCTATGTCAGAGTCAGTTGGAAACGATGGATATAAAGAATAATACATATAATTTATAGACTGAATTCACCATTTTAAGTTTTAATGAAGTGTTCTGGCAAAAATCTCAAGGCATTATATTCATTCTTATATTATTAAAGAAAAATGTTTCCTCATACTTCTCTTTTTTTATCTACTAGCATGTATTTCTGAAAGAACTGTAAATACAACATATTATTTAAAGCCATAAAACTGCCATACTGTTGACACCCTAAAAACAGACCACAAAATAACAGGTTTATTCCATTACAAACTACAACATAATATGACAGTAATGCCATATTACAGCAATTATTTAAATTTTCCCTAATACATAGAATTTCATCTCTAGATCCACAGAAGCATTTATATAATATTTATGTATGTATATATGCACATTTTATTGAATTATTTAAAGCTCACTTTTGTCTCACCATAAGATTATTGTTCACGCTACAATCAAATGTGACAACATAGTCTACGTCAGGAACAATACATCAGCAGTTAGCTTTAAATAGCATGTGTTTATCTACCTCTCTCTTTCTCTCTGAAAGATACATACAGAATTAAAAATAATGCAATTTTAACCAAGCTTAGATATTTGAAAGCAAATGATCTTCAGACACAAATGCAATAAAAAGAGAAATAGCCTATTTTATTGCAGCTATAATAAAGTAGCTGGAAACAGACTAATGATCTCACCACGAACAACTGTAAAATCTGGATAAAATACAAATTAAGCACCTTATTGGAGGCCTCTGAAAATCACCAAAGCAGCTATAACTTAAGGGATCAAGATCTTGGAGCATATAAAAATGCCCCGAGCCAAACAAGATCTCCTGCATGACTTTTTCTCCTTGTACATTGCCAATTTGCAGAGGAAAGCTCAGAGGCCTCATGGAAAATAAACATAAGTGTCTAAAGAGTTCAGCAGAGATCTCAGCAGTTTAACACTGCTGGGAAGACACAATTTCAGGTTCAGGTCTCAGTAACAAAGGAAAGACTATGGACATCACCCCAACTTCTCAACTGAGACCTCTGAGAGGGCCGCCTTACGCACAAGGACAAACACAAAGTCAATCTGGCTATAACTTATCTACCCACCAGGGGGAAAAAAATCAAAACTTCTCTGGAAGAAGATAATACCATGCCAGCCTCTATAAATATTTATATAAAAGGTTCAGTACTCAAACAACATTTTCCAAGAATGTCACTAAATAACACCCATGTAATGGAAACCAACCGACAAACACACATGAAACAGACCCAGATATAATTAGATATTACAATTAGATTAGAATTATTAGAATTACTATTATCTAGTATGAGTTACTAGATTAATAATAAGTATTATTAGTAGCATTAACAAACATATTTTAAAATAAATTACAAACATTTTCAAGAAAAACAGGTGGTGAAACAAAGAATTTCACCAGAGAACTGGAACTTCTAAGTATAAAATAAAAATTTTAATATTGAAAAAACACAACTGATATCAACAAATTCATACATGATTTTATCTGTAGATTCAAAACAATAGAAGAGAGAATTAGTAATCTAGTCAGCCAAGTAACCTAGCCAATCTAGCAACCAGACTGTAGATTACAAGAGAAGTAAATGTAGAAAACAGAAAAAAATAAGTTTGTATTTTTATAAAATTCATACAATAAAGAAAAATAATAATAGGAAACAGATATCTTTAATTGAATAATAATAAAATTGTGAAATATCAAAGATGTAGAATTTAGTAAAGCTGTGCTTAAAGCAAAATAAAAAGCCTTAAATATTGATTTAGAAAAGGCAAAAGAATCAATAACACAACTGTACAACTTAAAAGACTATCAAATTAAATTCAAAGGAAGTAGAGAGAAGAAAAAATAAATATAAAAAGCAAAAATCAATTGTACAGAACAATACATATACAATAGAAAACATTTAAAAGTCAAGAGTTTTCTTTGAAAAGATTAATACAATTAATGAATTCCTAGCAAATTCATTTTAAAGTATCAGAGAAGGCTTAAAAAACCAACATAAAGAATGGAAAGAAATCACTCAAAATGCTAAAAGAATTTAAATAATAGTATTATGAACAATTATACGCCAAAATATTTAAAGATTAAATATAATGAAGAGATTCATTATGCAACTACTCAATTTAGAATTTTCTGAAAACTTTGACTTTACTTATTGTTATGGTTTTTCTTCTTAACCAATCGTCTTTTGATACAAATAGGTTTGTCTGATGCGTATCATTGTATATTATTAAATGACGTTTTAAATTGTATACTCACCGTGGTGGAATAAATTGGAAGCTCCTTGAATGGGTTAACAAGCAAGAGGATGTCCCCGATAAAAGTCTGTTAGAGAAAAGAATAACTAGTTCTTGAACCATATAAATAGCACCTTTGAAGTTAAAGATCACTGTGTAATATAAAGAATAAGTAAAAATTGCACTTTTAACATCTGGGAATTGCTCTGAGTTTGTAAATAAAGAAACAGAAAAGTGAAATTCAAATAAACAGAGCCAACAGGTTTGTTCCACTGACTACATAAAAAGTGAAAGGATTAGATTCTGAGCATTTATCTTAAAGGGGTTCTGTGAGAACCAAACTGGATAAAAAAATACATGATTAAAACACATAGCAAAATAGACTGGAGGAAATAAATGGAGTAAGAAGTTCTATGTTGCTACAGAATAATAAAATGCATAACTGAAAAGCTGATAAAGCACAGAAAGCAAATAAAGACAATTGTCATTAGAAAGGACAAGTAATAAGACATAAAGGCACATAGAACAGATGCAACAAATAGATAGCAAGTAATAAATGATAGATTAAAACCCAAATGCATCAGTAATTACATCAAATACAAAGCTACGAAATACCATCATTAAAAGAGAAAAGATTATGATCTGGAGTAAAATACTACGTGCTAATCTGAAGAGAAACACTTTAAGTATTAAAGGTAATAAAATTTGAAAGTTAAAGGATGAAGAAAGACATATAATAATAGCAAAAAAAAAAAACAACAAAGGTGGTTTAGCAACATTCCATTCATAGAAAATACACTTTAAGGTAAGAAGCAGTACCAGTGATGAAAAGGGACACTTCACAGTGATACAATGATAAATCAATCAGGAAGATGCAGCAATTTTAAACTTCTCTGAGGTTAAAATCTAGGATAAAATATATGAAGCAACAACAGCTTTAAGAAGAAAAACATGCATTCACAGTGACAGTGGGCAATTTTCACAGTTTTTTCTTACTAACTCATTGAAAACCAGACAAAAGTTTGAAATAACAAGCAAGTTGACCAATCTACTTAAACAGGACACTTTTTAGCAAAAACTGCAGAATACATGTACATTTTTCACAATTGAACACAGACCAGTTTCCTTCTATTTAAAGGATTTGAGTCACACAGAATGTATTCTTTGATCGTGGTAAAATTAAGATAGAAATTAATAATGGATACCTAGAAAATCAGCAGATGTGTAAAAGAAATTGAATCTATGCCCAAAAACCATTCCACAAAGAAAACTCAGGCTTCTCTGGTGAATGCTTCCCGACACTGATGTACAAAATAAACAAGCGGAAGACAAATTATTCCAGAAAATAACAGAAGAGAGAACATTATTTCATTTTAAGAGGCCTGCACAAACTTGATATTGAAACCGTAACTAGTATATTGAAAGAAAAAATACAGGCTACTCTCTCTCATTAAAATACATTTAAAAATTCTGAGCAAAATACTGACAAATTGAATTGCAATGATACATTCAACATTGAACAGATAATAGAATTCAACCAAATAAACTGCCAGAATAGATAGAATTTGAAAAAAAATTAATAAAACAAATAATACTGGCCATGCTAAGTGTTGATGAGAATGCGTAAAACTGAAAGTCTCTGGTGGGAGGGTAACCACCTTGAAAAACTACTTGGCTGCATCTCCTACAGCTGAACATACCTTATGATGCTGGGATTCCAGTTCTAGGTAAATGCCCGGCAGAAATATGTATCTATGTGAGCCTCCAAAACCATGTAGGGTAGTTTATAACAGTACTATTTATAATAAGTACAAAGTGAAAAAACTTAAAGGTTCCTCAATTGTAGAGTCAACTACTAAATTAGGATATATTCACCCAGTAGGTTACTGTACAGGAGTAAAAACAGATAAGCAGTGCGACAAGTAACGGATGAATAACAGAAACATAATGATAAGTGAAAGATGAAAGACACAAAAGAGAATATACTTGGTGATTCCTTTTATGTAAAATAAAATTAAATAATAAAATAAAAACCCAGACAAAACAATTCGATAGCCCTATATGTCAGAAACTTTTGTAATAATTAGGGTGAATTGGGGAAGGAGCTTCTCATATTCCATTTCTTGATGAAGCTGCTGGCTATATGTGTACTCACCAAATAAAAATCCTTGTAGCCATACACTAGGAGGTTGTGCACTGTTCCCTTTANATATTCCATTTCTTTATGAAGCTGCTGGCTATATGTGTACTCACCAAATAAAAATCCTTGTAGCCATACACTAGGAGGTTGTGCACTGTTCCCTTTATCTGGTGTAATTCAATACATTTACTTAAAAGAAGGATTGACCAGAATGTTATAGTCAAGTAAAGAAGAAAAGAAATAAAAGTGAAATAATTGAGCTGAAAGGAGATCTTATTAGTTTAGTATCTCAAAATTACTCTTAAATTCCAGAGAATAAAAATGAAACTAGACAGTAGACCAGGGGATAATTGAGAAATCTGTTAACTAAGGAAGATGGAAATTTTAAGATAAAGTCAAAACAGAGTACCTCTAAATTACATTTTCCTATTAAGATATAACTTTCTTTATATTGGTCTACTTATTGAAGAAAATTGAGACTGTCTTTGATAACATATTTTTATAATAAAAAAATAATTTATAAAAGTGTGATCTGAATGTTAATGATAGTCATAAAAAGTGATTTTATATAGGCTTATACCATAATCTGAAGAGGCTATTTTGATAAAAGAGAAAATTTTAAATTACTACAGAGAAAGAATTTCTATAATTTTTAAAATTGTAGAAATGTTAAGATTTCCCTTACCTCATTTTTTCTAATGCGTTACTTTTTTAAATAACTTAACACATGTCAAGTGTTCAAAAGGGTCTTTTAGACTGAACTATAAGGCAGGTAGTGCACAGCACAGCATACTGTAGGTGGGACTTTAGATAACTGGGCTAGCTTGAAAAACAGTGTGTCCATCCATATAATTTCAAATAACTTGGAAGTGAGAGAGACTTCAGCTTTTGACACCAGCTTGTAAACTTTCACCTCTTGAGATACTCATAGTAAGAACTGCTGCATCCAACTGGGTCACCTTGAGGGGAACAGTAAATTAGTAAGTGGCTGAAATGAACCAGGTTCTATATTTGGCTAATGAGATGTTATCGAATTTATTTTTATTTTGTGGGATTTCATTTCTTTATTGGTCTCCAGTTCTACTAGTGTGTTTGTAAAGAGATCGCCTTCATGCTTATCAGCCATCCATGAAGAGATCTGATTGCATCTTCTATTCTATCTGTTGACAATAATTGTTTGGGGAATGCAGTGCTCTTATCCTGTGCATTTCCTAGCAAGCAAATGTCTCATCATCTGCAACTCATTTTCTGTTTGATGATGTGGGAACTTCCTACTGCTACAGACTATATAAAAACTTCTCAATTCAATAGCTAAATGGAATGCTATACACTTAATTAAAAGAGCAATTTACAGATTATTTTGAAAGATCATTTTATATAACATCAGACTATAGCAAAAAAAAAAAAAAAAAAAGATGAAAATCCTTGTTCAACAATTAATGCAGATGAAATATTTATCTTGGCCCTGATGGGCCAGCGGCAGCAGTGGAAGTCATATTCTGTGCATATTTCTAAATAGCACCAAAAAATATTCTGATGGTATTTTCAGTAAAATCAGATGTGGAACATGGAAGAAAATCAAGCAATACTCTTACCAGGCACTTTGGCCTGAAAGCTGGAAGAAAGGGGATGTCATTAACTGCAATGGGAGAGGCCATAGAAGGGAAATGTTGGGGGGCTGAGTGTCGAGATCAGACTCTCAGATTTGAATATTTTAATCTTGAGACATCTACTGAACTAGTGCCTTTATATTTATGGGGAAGTAACACGGGCTTTTATTTCCAACTCATTATGGACTGATATTTTGTAAAACATAATAAAGATGAATTCCTCAAAAAATGAAATTGAAAATGACAAGGAAATACAAATTATAAACCTTGATACTTATTAAATTCAACAGATGAAAATTAAACCATCAAATTGCCATGAGTTTCTAAATGCTTACTCTCATTGCAGGCTGCTAATAAGAGATTCAGATATTCAATGATCCATAGGATACACTTTGAGAATCGCTTATTACTATTCAATCAATAATGTTTAAACTGTCTGTCTATCCATGAGGGTGAATTCAGATACCATAACAAAGAACACTCATCACAAAACTGTTCCTAGATAATTCAGCTCTTCAATATTTCAGGTACTGAGAAGAGGAAAACCACGCCTCACACAGCGGCAAATTTATTTTTATGTGAACTTAAGCAAAGCAGGGGATGTTAATTCTGATTATCCAGAAAGAAAGCAGAAAGGATCTATGACGACGGTCCACTGTGTGGAGGAGCTGGAGCCGTGGCTCAGATAAACAGGTAGAAAGCATTTGCTATTTAAGATTAGAAAGGGCCTGGCCAGGCCTCTGGATGAGCAAAACCACCCCGGCCGTTATTCTGAGCTCAGGGTCTAGTAAGAAGCCAGATGTTAACCAAACCACCGACGAGGTATTATGATCACAAGCAGTTATAAGTGCTCTACAGAGAGATTCTCCACAGTGACTAAATCCGGAAAGTTAACATAAAGACTGGAGAACTTCTGAGTGGGGGTTTCTAAAGCTAAGTATTTTAATGGAGGTAGAATGAGAACTTTATGGAAAGAAACATAGGAAAATTCCCTGATGCAGGAAGGGGGGCAGTGACACGTGTTGTTCAGGGGCCAGGTCCTGATGAGACTTTCAGGGGATTCTCGCCTCTGGACTATGGTCATCCTCCCAAGAAAAATGGTAAGCCAGAGCCAAGGTTTAAGACTAGGAGTTTTACAATTATATTTGTTCTTTATAAAAATTACTTCAGTTCACTGTGAGATCAGATAGAAAAGGAATGAGGTTTGCTTTAGATAACTGTGTTAGGAAAAAAAAAAAAAGACGGTGGCTTTGAAGAAAATCCACTTGAAAAGCTTGGAGAAATATGGAGAAATAAAAAAATTCAAAACAAGCAGTGGTCTTCTGAAAAAATAATTAAGAAGTTAAAAACAAGAATCAACACAGGGTAAGAAGAAAAAATGGAATAAAAATAATATACAAGTAACAGGGCAATAACAGACCAAAGTAATCAGGTTTCACCACTTTATGCCAGTGGCACAATCCCATTAATTTTAAGAGAAGCATTTCATTTTAAGCATATTTACAGTGGCAGACAGTCTATCCAAGCTTTAAAATGCTGCACTCAATGTTCATAGGCTAATCAGCACCTGGCAATTTACTACTTGCAAGGGAATCTCAGACTTCACATTTCCATGAAAATTACTTAATCAGTTTCTCAGTACACTAGAAAAATGGGGTGTTATCAAAAAGGGATAGCAGATGAGTGTATAATCAGATTTCTCTGTAGATATTCTGATTGAATTGCTCTGAGTTGAATATAACAAAAGCAAGAGAGAGAGAGAAAGAGATTGAGATCTGAGGTCACATGTTGTCTAAACTGTTACTAATACTGGTAGAAATAACACATATAAAGCAAGATAGAACCACAGCAAATAAATTCTCCCCATTGTCTGTCACCTGAGTCATATATTTGTATCCTATTATCAAAGATCCCTGTATAAATTATTTCCTTTACACACAGACATTTCCTGATAATTCAGAGGAACAATAGTTTATGGCTTCATGCAATAGGGAGGCAGTTCTCCTTGCAGAACCAACTTTTCCTCTTTAGTTTCCTTTTCCAAGTCTAGAAGGCTAAATTACAGTAGACGAAACAAATAGCATTTTAAAAAGTTGATTAGCAGATCTGACGGTTCTAGCAAGACCTTCACCAGCAAGCATTACAAGAAAGTTGTCTACCCTCAGGAAAGTAACATTCACTTCGCAACTCTGAAATCTGGAACTTTGCTGAACTTGCCTTATAACTGCACNTAACATTCACTTCGCAACTCTGAAATCTGGAACTTTGCTAAACTTGCTTTATAACTGCACCAGAAGAATCCACCTGAGCTCTGGAGAAATCTGCCTGAAGCTATCAGCATGACCAGAAGCAACAATAAACCCATTATCTGTAATATTTGCAGCACCGAAGGGTAAAAATATGCAGCAAGACAAATGCAGTGCAAAAGGCAATTTCAAGGGCACTTACGTATATCTGATTGTTCCCAAAGCGCTTCTGAATTTCATAAAGCAGGCTGCCATCATTGAGCTCACTGAGTGTTGCTAGGTCATCATTTGGAGCAGGAGGCATTAGCTTGACCTGGGGGAAAAAATAAGATCAATTCTAATTGCTTCGCAATCACCTTTCTTCACAGTTGGATGTTCCATTTCAATTACATGTCGAAAGTTTAAAAACCACATGAGTTTGAAACTATTAAAAGATGAAATGGTTCACTTATAAGAAACAAAAAAAGTCAGCAGCTACAGAAAAATATATTCAGATGAGAATTTCTGTTCTCTACCAGTGAGTGTGTATGCGTGCATGTGAGCACACACACACCCANTATAAGAAACAAAAAAAGTCAGCAGCTACAGAAAAATATATTCAGATGAGAATTTCTGTTCTCTACCAGTGAGTGTGTATGCGTGCGTGTGAGCACCCACACACCCACACACACACACGTCAGATGCAAGCTTACATTCTTCAAAGACATTAAGTCTATCAAAACCATGTCAGCATGTTGATTCCTCCTAGTCCCTACTTACAATTTAGACAGCTCTAAACAGTGCTGACTCTTTTGTAAGACAAGAAGCTGAAAAAGCTCATGTATTTGCAGGGTTTCCAAAGCTAAAGCAAAACTGCTCTCTCAAATTACTGTTGTTGGCATGGAAGCAACGTGCCTGGAGTTTAGTTTCTGCATACATCTAGGAGAACGCCAGATTTTTAAAGTAAACTCTAGAATTCTGGCTTGTGATTTTTATTCAGCTCTATAATATTCTTAAGATTGAAGTAGCTGTGAGATTAAGATAATTCTGTCAAGAAAAAAAAAATGCTTTCCTATTCAATTTAACATAGAGTGACAGTTTAAAAACTAGGTGAGATTAAAAATAAAAAACAGATAAGTTTGAATTATTTATTTAGATGAAAATCTATCCTAAGTTAGAAATGGTCAATGTTTAACTTCATATACACAAAATATGCTCTGAAAAGCAAGACATTTGATATGACAACTTTGGTTTTCTCATGTGAAACACTGAGGAGCAAAAGAACAAGAATATTCTTATTAATGCTCTTGTGAATTCACTGGTGCCCATAGTTAATTTTTAATAACAGTAAGTTTATTTGTATTATTAGCATTGGTGCTTATAGTCTATATTTGTACCTGCATTTTATATTCGTATTAAACACTGAACAATTGGATGCCTCATCACTAAAAAAGCTAAACTTAAATATTACTGTCCCTCAGCTAAATGTTTATACAGTAAAAATATTACACATTTTTTTAAAAAACTAAATTTAGGACTCTTTCTCTGACACTAATGACTATTTCCCAAAACGCAATCTTTCCTGTGAGTTCATAAACTCATGTCATTGTTATCCCAGACTGTTAATCCTAATTCATTAATAATAGAAACATAAATTCTTTACTGGAAATTTCAAATACTCAGAAGAGTGGTTCATTGTATCTTATAGATGAAAGGGTATCGTGGCAGTGGGCTCTCTTGCATTGGAGGTGCAACCATTTATATAAGTGGGAAACACAGTATTCCAATAACAGCATGTTTATTCATTAAAATTTAACTTTTAAAATATTCCAGACCTTGGAAGTGTCAGGAACAAGCTTCTCCCTTTCCCACAACATGCACACACTCAGCCAATACCTCCAGTTTATTTTCTGTTTTTGTAGCATTTAAATAAAAAAATGTCTCAAAATATCATTCGGAATTAACCTATGAAGAATATATATAGTCTTATTAAAATCAGTCATTTAACTTTGGGTTAGAGACACAGTTTTAAGGCTTTGATAATGTCAGAAATATTTACTTACATAGTTCAAGAACAGCACCCAAACCCTGGTGCCTGTTGAGTAGAAGCCATCATGTCCCAGCCCTCCTAATATTTTCTGGGTTGTCAAAATCAATTTAGGTATTGTGTGATATGTTTTCTAACTTTATATATTTAGTTCCACTTAGAAGAGTCATAGGCCCAAAGTGCTGCTGAGACTGACGGTTCTCAGAGAAGCATGGCAATCAAGCAGGGACACTGCCTCGGCCTCACCCCCAGGTGAAGGACCTAGTAGTCTCCAGCCTTCTTGACCCAGGCAGGTTTTCATTCTGCTTTTTCATCAATCATGCTGATTCCTGTAAAATCTTACATACTGGTCTGGGTACTGGAATACTGGGAAGCTCAAACTCACCTAAGACATCAATTATTTGTATTTACCTGTGTGAATGATATTTAAATCCCAGTGGTATATCTTCCTGTGAGATTGTTTTTAACTTTAAAAAAAAATTTCTAAATTACATTCAATATTATTTTATATTAGTTTCAGGTGTACAGCGTGGTGATTAGTCAGTCATATACTTTACAAAGTGTCCCCTGATATTTCCGGTACCCAACTGGCACCCTATGTAGTTATGAAAGTATTATAAACTATTATTTCCTATGCTGTACTTTACATCCCCATGACTATTTTATAACTACCAATCTGTACTTCTCAATCCATTCATGTTTTACACACAGTGCATATATATATATACACATACATATACATACATACACATATATATATACATAAAAAAATTAATACCCACACTTATATATATCCATGCATATACATGAGATAAGCCAATAATATGGCTGCAGTAATTTTGCACAATGCAATGATAAGACAAAAGTCTCCTGCAAGTCAGCATACATATTTAACTCCCAAAGAAATCATAAAAAGAAGAAAAATCAAGGCAAGATTTTTTTGTCTTCAGAAGTAACGATTTACACTAAGATAATAATACTCCTCTTATCACCACAACTTTAACGAGCTCAATGCAAATCTCAGCGTGCATATGCAGGGAAGCAGGAGTGGCACTAACAGAAGCTCCCCATTGTGCCCAGGAGCTGCCGCAGACATCTCCTTGGTATTCCAGAGGATTTTTATCTTCAGTGGCACAGCTGTTGCATGGGTTAGAGAACATACTAGGCCGACAATAAAAATGTGAAGACTCCCTTGCCTGTGTGTAGTAATGAGCTGTGACAAATAGAGTATTAGATTAGATCAACGGAAGAATTCCTTCAATTTATCATAAGATACCAAAATGATCAGGAAGGAAGCTTTGATAATCAATCTTAAGCACGGCTATCAAAGGGGCACATTTTTTATGAAGATTTTGAAAGCACCATGGCAGCTGATAACAAGTAGAAAGAAAAAGAAAAACATGTCTGTGAATATATTTATGTTGTAGTTGTAGACTCAACAGTGTGTACTACCAATGTCTGCTGAACAGTTATTACTCTAGTAAAAAAAGAGATGGGGTAAATACGGGGGAAAAAAATTAACATCCTCTCTAGAGTTCACCATCTTGGTTCTTCTGAAGACACATAAGTCACCATTATATATATATCTCCATATATATTTCCAAAAGCAGAGATTTAGAACACAACGCGGACACAACTCAGGGTAAATGTTCAGAAATGTTTCAAGATAAAGGAAATTTAAATTTTGAAGATACTTTGAATTCACTGGCTCCGTCTCCACTTGGCAACACTGCTCTGAGTGCGGTCAACTTTGCTGTTTTATGTGGTTGCTTGTGATCTCTCGCTAGGTCAGTAGCATATGCACAGGAGCACTAGGTTCAAGGAGCAGAAAGGCGGCCTGACAAATGGGATAAAGGCAACAAGATCTTGCAGAGGACAGGTCCGGAGGACAGAACCCAGTGCGCATGAACGAGGGGGACAGAGGGAGTAAGAAAAACAGGCGCTGACTGGGACGGTCCTGACGGCGAAAGGGGCATTAATCTGACTAAATACTTTATACTAAACCTCCCAAGGCTGAAGCCCATTACCATGCATGAAGAGCATTTCAGCTGTTCTTTCCTTGCTTTAGTTATTCTATTCGATGTTTCTTAGTGAAATGTATCGGGTCCTTTCACTCACTAGGCCTGTGTTTGGCTGAGGATTTATAGTTTGTGCATGTGGGTGTTGGTGTACCTGTGGGCTCTGGAAAGAGAATTCTCTCCAGCCTTGAAAGCCCTGCACTGCACATGCAGCCGGGGAATGCAGACTTTCTCTCCACTCACAGAGCTGTCAGAGGTAGGCAGCCCTCCAGGAGGAGAACCAGGGCTGTGATGTCCTCAAAAGGGCACCAGACACAGAGCAAAAGAAACACTTGTGAGTCTAGGCCATTTGCTTCGGCTTCTCGAGTTTAAGTCTGATCAGTTTAAACTCACTTTGAAACTTGACTATAAGTTGTTTTGAAAATGCATAATAACTTGCTCGCAGTGGTATTGTTTTTAAAGATTAAAATAATGCAAGTGATAGCATTTTTAAGCTTTGAAATGTTAACCAATGTACAGTATTATTTGTATTATTATATTCTAAAATAGCCTATATTTACATTAAAAATAAAACCAGGTGGATATATTGACTGGATTTACCAAAGCCACCCAGTTTGTGGTATTTTGTTATGGTAGCTTGAGAAGATGAATATACCTAATAAAATTCAAAAATATTTCAAATGTTTTGCTGTTTTAGTTTTTTTTAAATAAAAATTAATGAAATGAAAATTTTTCAAAAAGTCTTTAAAAAATCTAGTTAAAATATATTTTAAGAATTCATAATTATATACATGAAACAAGACATTTCAAGGACTGCTTAACATTTATTAAATGCCCTACCATTTATAAAACACAACACATATAAAAATCATTTATTTCGATAGAAATGATAACATAAAATACATTAAATTCTGTAACTCCAAGCTCATCAAAATGATCTCCCATAACTTGGGCCCTGGAATATGCTCATATACAAACATATACACGATACAGCATCACAGTTACTTTTAAGAATAAATGACTGATTGGTTTGTCTTTCTTCTTGTTATGGAACATATTTGGATATTAGAAGGAAATAAAGAAACCAGAGTCTACATAACAATTAAAATGATGACCAAAGAGAGACCTGGAAATATTTAGGAATTAACATATTGGCTGAGCTTACAATCCCAGTAAATAAGTCAAGAGTGTAAATTCAAATCCTTGTAAAACACAATAGCAGCATTTGTTTACGGTCAATAACACACATTAATATTTTATAAATGGAATTTTTAATTAAAATACTAGCCTATGCTTTCATTAAAGTTTCTCTGAATGGATATTAGTGGGTATTTGGGACATAACAGGACACAATACTAGCAGACAAGCAGTAAGGGTGTAATTACCTGCTCGGGTTTGGTGGGACCATTCACAGTGGCGTTTTCAGGAGTGCTGTCCTGAGGTTGTTTCTTACATAGACCTTTTGTTGCATCTTTGAACATAATGTCTTTTTCCAACAAACTGTCTTGCTTGGCAATTGGCAACACCAGGGGGCTGCTAGAGGAAATAATCAATACTAGAATTAGTTTTCTTCTAACATGGCTGTGTCAATCAGAAATTACCACAACAGGACATCTCAATTATAGAAAGTTGTTTTATTCAAGAAGGAAACAGTTTCTTAATACTGCAAGAAAAAAAATGGAACATCTGTAAGCATTTCTGTTAGTTCCAAATTTCATTCAATTTCACATTTAAAAGAAAAATAGATTCAACTTGAGAAGAATATATTTACAAATGTATATATGACTGTAATAGACAAATCAATACGTAATTTAAAAGCTAAGTTTGACACATATAACTAAACTAGGAAAAATATTTAAATGTGAAACTTAATCATAAACAAGTAAAGACAAAATCATACAATTAATTAAAATACTATACATACGGGATTTAAAATATGTTATAGCATCATGGGCAATAGTTAGAGTTTGTAACTAAATAACAATAGTGTAGCAAGAAAGAAATGATGTGCACAAGACTGCAATATTACAAAAAAGAATAAGTTCTATTGTTTCTATACAGCTCAATCGTGCCAAAAAATAAATAAATAAAAGCTACTTCATGTTTTTGTTTTGCTATAGACTACACTGCCAAAAGAAAGACATTTTGTAATGATCATAAAAAATAAACACAATCTAAATGTTGTTTTCATTATAACATTTTTATATTAAGATTTAAAAATATATTTTCCTAAATGTTACCATACAAGCAGAAATACATACATATTTAATCAGGTACAATATATGTAAACATAATTGTAACCCTTTGTAGGGTTACAATTCAATGAGATTTGAATTATATATATATATGTGTGTGTGTGTCTGTGTGTGCATATTATATATATATTATATAAATTGTGTGACCAACAGATTCAGCAATAAATAGACCTTTTATCCCTCCCATGTCTCTTTGTAACCACCTATGGAGTCAATTATCCCCCTTGGCCTCCTGGCCCTTGCAACCACTGATAATTCTTTCTTTCGCTACAGTTTTGCCTCTTCCAAAATGTCATATGAAAGGGGTCAGAGTAGGCAGCCCTCTGTGGATGACTTCATTTACCTAGCAGTATTTCTGAGACTCATTCATGCTGCTGCATACTGCAAAGTTTGTTTTTTATTGCTGAGTAGTATTCTACTGCAGGAGGTGATACACTCTGGCTGCCCATTCACCAAAGACTGGGATTGTGTCCAGTTTTTGTCAACTGTGAATGGAGCGTCTATACACCCATATACAGGTGTCCGTGCAGACATATGCTTTCATTTGCCTGGGCTAAGTTGCTAGGAGCAACTCCCAACTGCTTCCAAAGTGACTGTACCATTTGGTGTTTCCCCCAGCAATGCGTTATAGTTTCACTTATTTCACATCCTTGTGAGTACTTTTTTTCGTACTGAATCTATTGGAGTGACATTGGTTAATCAAATTCTATGGGTTTCTGTACAATTGCCAATACTTTTAAAATCCATTCAAGTAAGTGCATTAGTGGCTTCTCACTGTGATTTTAATTTGCATTTCAATGTGTTTATTTGACATAAGGATGTTTTCTTTGGTAAAGTGCATGTTCAAATCTTTTGACTATTTTTTATTGGGTCTTTGTTGTCAGATTATTGAGTTTATATATTTAGATTCAAGTCCCTTATCATATACACACTTGGCAAATATTTTCTCCCAGGCTGTGTTTTGTCTTCATTTTTTTTAACAGTATGTTTCAAATAACTTTTTTTTTCTCTTATGGTTTGTACTTATGTCTTATTTAAGAATTCTATTCTGAACCCAAGATGAACATGGTTTTCTCTTCTAGAAATTTTAGAGTTTTATACTTTACATTTAGGTCTATTATCCATTATGAGTGGCTTTTTGCACATGGTGCTATATATGAGTCAAGGGTCGTTCTTTTCTCGTATGGCTATCCAATTGTTCCAGCATCATTTCTGAAAAGAATATCTTTCCCCAACCAAGTACCTGAGCACCTTTGTTAAAAATCAATTGACCACATATGTGTGGGTCTATTTTAGGACACTCCATTGTATTCCAATGATACAATAGTCTATTCTCACACAAATATTATACTCTCTTGATTAATGAACCTTCATGGTAATGCTTGAAATCAGGTAATGTGAGTCACCCAACTTTTTCTTTTTAAGAATTGTTTTGGATATTTATGGTTATTAACATTTTATATAAATTTTAGAATCTGTCAGTTTTTATAAAGATGCCTGGTGAGATTTTGATTAGCATTGCATTCAATTGATAAATCAATTTTGGGATAATTTACATGTTAACAATGTTAAATTTTGTCACCCATAAGCAGAGTATACTTCTCCATTTATTCTGATCTTCATTAATTTCTATCAACAGTATTTTATAGTTTTTGACATTAGAATGTGGCAAATAATGTGTTCTATTTATTCTAATGTGTTCCATGTTTTTATTCCATTGTAAATGTGTTTTTAAAATTTAATTTCCAGTTGCTGATTGTTAGTATATAGAAATATAAACAATTTTGTATCTTAACCTTGACAGAGGAGGAAGGAAGGAATCTGAAGGACTTCTTTCAGTAACCACAGTGTCTCACTGTATTGTAGCCCATCTCTGCGCTGTTTTCCAACTCTACTCTAGTCTAGGAAAGTGTGAGTAAAGACAGACTAGGACTTGACTGCATTAGGGCCAGGCCTAAGGAAAAAGCAGGGATAGCTAAAAATCATGTTTACAGAAATGTGAAGTCAGTATTATTTCTTTTGAACTCTGGATGGTGATGTTTTAAAGTGTTTTAATCAATGAGGATATTTTCAAGTAGGTGTGGGGGAGGGGAGCATATATTAAAAAGAGGCGACATGGTATAGCATAGCTGCAATAAGCATACGTTTTTGAGTCAGAAATGCTACACAGTTTGATGTCTGTCTCTGCCACCTTGGGCAAATTATAAAACCATTCTGTGAAATCAATCTGTAAAGTGAGGGATTACTCACATAATGCACATAAAGGGCTTAGCACGATGACTATGGTCATAGCAGGCAACACAATTAGCTACTATTTGTATGTGTCCAGAACTGTGAAGTTTCTGGGATTTTACTCTACTTATAAGTTCTAACTGGTTAGCGTGTTACTCTCTCATGGATGGATACAGAAGACAAGAGATTCCCGGATCAGAGACAGAGAACTTCATTACTCACTGCAAACACAGCATCCAGGGCTTCATGTTCGCACAAGTTCTCCTTGCCCCCGTCCCATGGACGGTAGGAGTGGGCCTAAGTGGACGACTACACATGCAGTGTGTTGTGTTACAGGACAGAAACCTGCCCAAGAGTCATGTATTTGGTGAGCAAGCAGCAAACACTGCACCAAGCAGCAGACAAGCCAGTGCCGTCCTGTGGCAGTGAGTGCTGTGGTCTCCGTGTGAACTACTTAGTCACCTGTAGGACTAACTACATATGCCTTGCCGCCTGACAAACTAAGCAAGAATGTAGAGGGTGCTCGGGGCACACATCCCTCCTAATAGTAAGCTTATTAATTTTAAAAATTCACTATAAAAAGGGAATGTTATAAAGCTTATACAAATTTCATATCCAGACCTGTTTGAATCTAGTGATAAAATATCCATAACTCCCAAAGACGACTTATTTTTTCCGTGAGCAACTCTGGAACCATGCCTGTCTGCTCGAACTTGTATTCATCATTCCTAGGGCTCCCAAGAGTGTGCACTATATCTCTCTGATATGAGAGCCCTACAGATATTTAAAGACAGTCATGGTTTCCCTATATTTTCTAATATAAATGAGCCACTTGCAAAACATTTAAATAATTATGTAGCATTTAATGTGAGATAATAGTCTGTTCTAAGTACTCTACGCATATTCACTTTTTATTTGACAACAACATTATAAAGCAGACACTATTTTTATACCTATTCTAAAGATGAGTAAACTGAGGGCCACAGAGAAGAACTTGATCTGGACATATAGCAAGCAGTAGTGGAGCTGAGATTTGAGTTCCAGAGCTCTCATTCTTAACTACCATGTCACACTGCCTACATCTAAAAATCCACCCTCACATCTATCAAAATATGTCCTGCCCGGCTGGCTTGGCTTAGCTGTTGATTTTCAACCTAAGATCCAGGAGATTGCAGTTCGATTCCCGGTCAGGGCACATGCCCGGGTTGCGGGCTCGATCCCCAGTAGGGGACATGCAGGAGGCAGCCGATCAATGACTCTCTCATCATTGATGTTTCTATCTCCCTCTCCCTCTCCCTTCCTCTCTCAGAAATCAATAAAACATATATATATATGTGTGTATATACATATATCTGTATATATGTGTGTGTGTGTGTATCCTTACTTATCTCCCCTTATATCAATCATCTCCTTTTTCTGGAGATTTAAAGAAAATTTAAGAGGCTTTGCATATACTTCTGAGTGCAAAGCTATTAATAAAGCAGTGGTTTGACTGGTCAGGTAGAACTAGGAAGATATTCATGAAATACATAAAATCACCAATTATAAAGGATTTATCAAAGGAAGGAATAGTGAGCTTACTAAAACAGCAGGCTCTTTAAGAGCTACAATTGGAAAGAAGATTGGTCCAGGAATATAGCGACCTCATTCTAAGTTTTTACCTCAAGTTGGCCTGACTGTCTAAGGCCTTCACAACCTCTGGGCCACAGTTTCCTCTTTGTCAAATGCAGAAATGAGAACAGGTAATATCTAAGTGTGTATGAAGCCCTATGATGTTAATACATAATCTCTCTTCATATATTTTCACCTGCACTTTAAAAAAATTATTTATACATCCAATAATATCATAGGTTATATATTCTAGGATCCATTATTAACAATAATTGCAAGTACCTAGTTACAAATACTCTCTTATTTATATAAAAATGACTCTAATACAATTGAATTAAATGGCAACATAGTAATTAGTAATGCACATATTTTCTACAAGAAAATGTAAAACATATGTAGGCTGATGGCATGTGCTAATGTTTTAAACGTCTGTGGAAC